ACGATCTCGGTTCCTGATCGGGATTGAACGTGGCGCAGATCTCGTTGCAGATCTCGCAGACCTCGCACATCTGGTCACAATCGGTCGCCGAGGAAATGAGTTTTCGATCCAAGGTGTCGGTCGACTCTTGCAAATTCCAAGAGCTACAAATATCGCATTCCGTGGAATCCTCGTCGACGATGGAACTGCAATTGGAACGCAGGATCGCTTCTTCCGTTCCCATTACCTCCTCGGTTCTCAAGGACAATTCATTCACGTAGCAACAGACAGAGCAGAATTCGTCCGTCTGCATGTCGAGTTCGTTCGCTGTGATCAATTGGGAAGTACTGTCAGCTTTCGAAGGATCCTCGTAACATACCTCCGGCATTTTCTTAATCGACTCGTAGCTCTTTGATTTCTTCGAGAACATTTCCTCGGTCTTCGACTTCCTTCTTGATACCGTTCTGGAATCGTTCGCATTGATCACCGAATCGAGACTTCCCTTCAAAGGCGCGTCGTATCGTTTCACTTTCCTAGTTCTCTCGTCACTGATCGTTGACTCGTGAATCTTCGACCGCGAGAAGCCGGTCGCTCTTTGACCATTCGATCGCGACTTACTTTCTTTCCTAGGACTCTTCGATCTCGACGAGGAAGCCTTCGAGGATTTCGATACAGTCTTGTAGAACGTTTCCTCGGACTGTGTGCCCGAGTCTACGCTCTTCTCCATCGTTTCGCCCTCCTGCACTTTCCTGTCGTCGGTTTCGCTGTATATTCGCATCTGGCCGTTCTTCGTCTTCCTGGGACTCTTGCGTGCGTTCACCACGGACTTCACGTACTTACCGTCTATCTCCAAACTCACGTCCCGCTTCGAGGACTTGTCATCTATAGCCAACGAATCGTCGGAATCCCCTCTTACGATCTCGGTTCCATCGTCGATTATCTCTTGTATCTTCACCGTGCTCTCGTCGCTCACGGACGACGGAACAGGCGACTGTACGAGAAGACTCAACTTGTCGATACTTCCATCCGATTCGCCCTTGTATATCATGATCTCACCTTTACCCTGTACCCCGTTTTCTTCGACGATCAATGTCGCACCTTCCTTGTCAAAAGGATTGTGAATCATCGCGCTGACTAACACTAACACCTGCGTGTTCGAGCATCGAACGCTATCACTGGGAAAGCCGTCCTGATCGTGGACCTCGTCGCTTCCCGTTCGATCGGTATGCTGAGTTTTGTGATCGATCGAGTCGCTCAATCGCTGCTCGTCTAACCGAGAATCATTACGCTCGTCTTGGACCTCGTCTTCGACCGTGTCATCGTCCAAACCGTACCGCGTGAGCCTGTAATCCTCTTTGTCGACGCTGAAGTCAGACAAAGCGCCTTCGTGGCGTCCACCGCCATTGTCTCTGGCGGATATTGTCGAGGACGAGACAGTCGAAGACGAGATCGAAGACCTAGCCTCGCGATCCTTGATTCTACCGCCTCCTAATCCTACATCGACGACGTCGTGCTCGACACGAAGCCTGCTACTAGCTTCCGACGACTGAGCTACGCTGTCTTTCGCCTCGATTGACGGCCTCGTGCTAACTTTGACGAGGTTCTCGCGTTTCGACGAGAAGCTTCGGGTGGCGACACCCGGGGACACCTCTTCCAATTGACTCGATCGGGGCTGTACCCTGACCACCTTTCTGACCTTTCTATCATCGTCAACGAAACCTACCTCGTCGAGGATCTGCGACTCGCCGGTTTCGGTGGCGATGATCTGTTTCGCGAGACCTGGATACGCGGCCTTCGCGGTCGTTATATGTTTGGCGTTACCGTTCTCGGCGAGGAGAGCGCTAATGAATTTCTCGCGCGCCTCCTCGAGGCCGCCGCCGACGCCGCCGACACCACCGCCACTGCCGACGTGACGGGAGGCCACGCAGGCCACGTTCGTTGCGTTCTGGATATTCTTACGTAGAACGGTATCAGGCACATCGATGGATATAATTTCGATCGGACTCGGGGATTCCATTGTAACGTCGCTAGGCGACGGCGTGAGAAAGGTGTTTTGATACTTGGAATCAATGGTCAAGTAATTATTCGCATTGGGTGAGGTCAGTTCCAACTTACTTCAGTGTCCAAGTAGATTGGCAGCGTGAAAAACAAGACACTATTTTTTATACGATCTTCGTTATGTCGGTACTCGGTAGAAGTCCGATTCAGGACAAAAATGGTCCGCTAATTTTACTTGTCGATTTTGCAAAAGAGATACGCAAATTATTTTGTTGGTTAATTCTCTTGATTGACAGTGTTTCGAAGCAAGGAATATTATTTTTCCATGAATCGGTACTTTTACCACGATTAACAAATGAAGTACAACTATTTTAGAAAAGCTAACGTAACATAACGTAAGAAAAGTGAAAGAAATGCAGTGGCAAAAATTTATTTGTAATTACAGTGATAGAAAATAGATCTGATTAAATTTACATAACAAAATGAAAGACTCTTAGACTAGACTAATATATTGCTGTATATTGTTTGTACATCTATTAACCCTTTTAACACTCAATAAATTCTTTTAAGAACTCTTTGGCATCTATACGAGTATTTATCAAATAAATAACTCGATAAAAATCAACAAAAATAATTTTATTCTTGACATATGTTTATCAACAAGATCTGGTATCTAATTCTAAACAATGTTATCAAAAATAGACTATACATTTACATATTTGTAGTCGATGTATTAGTAATTATATATATCTTGTGAAAAATTACAACTTTCCTTCATAAAATAAATCTATATACATTATACATTATTTCTTTTTAATTGTTTATATATTATTTACAAAACATTTAAAAATCACTATAGTCCAAACAACAATCTTAGATCTCTATTCTTATTCAATATTTTAAAATTCATACTTTTAAAAATGAACATGTTAATTATTATAATCGATATTACGGCTAATGTATCAATGTTATTGAGCACTAGAAGGGTTAAATTATAAAAGGGTTAATTATAAAATACACAATCGTGTATAACAATTTTACAACTTAGATTAACCAATTCTGTACACTCTAAACTCACCAACTACGTGGAATATGAATGCTATAAAAATATACACTTATCGTACAAAATACATAAAAATAAATCTTTGTTTAAATCTACTGGAAGATATACTATTAAGTTTTCACTAATTGAATGAACTACCATTGTAGTGAAATTATGTTTAAACTCACATTGTTGATGCTGTTGATTTTGCATCATAAATTCCTTGCTTATAGACATAATCAATCACAGCATCTTGCAGGAGATACCTGACACTCTCACCTCGTTTAAACGCTCTCCTTATTCTAGTTGAGCTAACTTCATTTGGAATCCATTCAGTTACTATGTGTATATTGTGCTACACAGAAGTTAATTATAAGAAAAATATTAGGAAAATACAAAAAAAATATGTAACGATTGCTGACAAGAGGTTAATTACCATATATTTAGAAAGAATATCTGAATCGTATATGAACTTATTTGGATTAGAACCTTCCCTTGTAATAACTACCAAACCATGTTCTCCAACAATAGCATCGATCTGCAAAGAAAAATTACAAACATATTTTTAAATTATCAAGACATAAATAGTATAAATAGCATAATACAATAAGTGAAGAAATATTCACTTACATCTTCTTCAGCCCATAAATCATAAATTCCAAAACTTTCTAATAAATCAGCACCACATAACAGTTTAATTTGAATTGGAGTGCGATCAGAACTATTTCTTACATTTTCTGGAATCCATTCCAGATCTTCAATTGGTATATTATGTTTAACATTATTTGAATCATATAACGCAGAGTTCAATAAATTCTGATGGTACTGTAAAGTTAATCTAGTCTTTGTCCAACCATTCTGCCTAGTTTCCCAAGTACTAAGATAAATCCAATCATTGTTTTGTAAAGCTAATCTCAACATAGCACATCTGTGCGTCGCTGCTGCTAAATCTTTCTTAGCGTATGCATCATGTACAGGAGATATAACGCCACCAACCACAATGTGCGTTCCCATTCTATGAAGATGGTCTCTGGCAATTTCTGAAAATTTGAGATGAAAAGTTATTCCACACAAAAAATATCTATATATCAAGGAAAATTACAATTTGATATCATAACTGCAACCCTAAGAAAATGAAATTAAAATAATGAGAAAAAACTTATAATTTGGGCTGGTTTATTGATACAACATTTCATTTACAAATCTAATCAAAGCTTAATATCGTAACCAATATTTGTATATGTGTATATCGATAATATTAATTCAGATTGTTTACACGGGGTTATTTTAACAATGTTCTGATCCGTCCAAATAACCAATAAAACACAAATGTCATACAATTCGTCTACTGTATATATCGAAATACTTTGTGTTTACGCAAAGAATCCATATTGATTATGAAGAATGACATATATGTACCAAACATTCTTAAATGCATGTTAGTTGGAGGGTTATAACTGCCGCACGACATAAGAATAACACGCGTTGGTGCCATTTTTTCTTCTTTTGTCCCGCTGCATGTGATGACAGCAGGTTTACTGGACTGCTGGAACTCTCTTTTCGCAGTTTTGTACAGGCAAGACACGAAACATTTAGACTGATGCGTAATAATGCGAGGTAAATCGTTACACGAGCCACTGCAACAACCAACTATACTGTACAGACTACACTCTGGCTGATGTTTCAGCCATATTTGAGTCGGCGCTACTACACGAGTCAGTTGAGGTATTGTTTTCAACATCGTCTTAAATACTCCCTAAAACTTACTAACTTTTGCATACTGAGCAATCTTTTTTCTTTTACTTAAGCCAATAACTACTGTAGTCAACAGAATAAATTTACAAGCGACAGTCAATTATTAATTTGACGCGTATCGAAATATCTTTCCTTTCAAGAGGCTTTTCGAAACGACTTAATTGTATTCACTTAACGGAGCACGCAATCTATATATCGATATTCTGATTTATCTGTAGCAAGAAGTTCATTATTCTGTTATTTTGTCGAGAAAAATAAATAAAAGCATATAAAGAGACTTGTGAAAATTGTATGTGAGTATTGCGAGCAAATAATTTTAAAAACTACAAGGTTAGACGATTTCAATATTCATAAAATAATCTATTATACTATTGAAAAATTTGATATTGACAAGAACTGTGTAAATATAATGAAAAAATAATCCAGAGGATTTCGAATATTCAATTTTCAGTTACGTATTCGATTATGTATATTCAAACATAGGTTATAAAATATAGGTTACCTTAAACTTTAGAATTTAAAGATATCGATAAAACGCGAAGTGCTAGACTTGATAGATAATTATTATTAAGTTATTATTATATGTAATGTTAATTTTAATATCTTTTTTCTTTGTAAGTTATACTTGTAATTATTAATTCAATTGGCAACATAGGAATGTACCATGTATGTAGTATATTTGTATATTTGTTTATTGTAGTATACCTATCGATTAATAATTTTTATTTATTTCATATTTTATTAATATTTTATAACACGTTAAATGATTTTATAATATATTATATAAATATAATACATTCCTTATTTTTTATTTATTAGGAATTCTTTCTATTTGAGAAAAATATGGCGGAGGGAGATTATCGATGTTTGGGATATATCGAAGAGATAACTTCTCATTAATGGTTTAGTGTGCAATTTGCTGTGGTGTCGAAGAATTTTAGTGGTGCGTATTTTTACTTTTTTTGTATCTTATATGAGAGAAATACAATTTATATTGTTAATTCATTGCTACTTTATTATCCATGTATAAAATAAAACATAAATGCGATTATATGAAACGCGATTATTCAGTGTAATAACGAAATTCAATTAGTACGTTCATTTCATTACATTTACATATTTGAAATACATTTATGTTTCATTCCACAATTATATAAAAGTCAATAATTTTTATTCTCGGTGTAACGTAATAAAATTTTTAAAGGAAATATGAAATATGTATTTCTTTCTTTGTAAAAATCGACATATGTATAATAAATTCAGTCAAAATCACATAGGACTGCCATTTTGAAGTCTAGAATATTCTAATTATATTATCTTTTGTAACAGATTTCCTGTGTGATATACGTACATCGTTTAACTGAAATTTTGCTACGAATGTATCTTCAGCATGAGTCAGCAACGTCAGTAATATTAGTGGCAGAAAGATGTTCCTGATTATTCTGCGATAGGTGAGTCGTAAATTTTCTGCGCCAAGAAATTATGGCTCGATAAAGTTGGCCATGAGACTGAATAATTGTATAATGCTTTCTAAACGAAATATCTGTGAGAAAATATCAATCTTTGAAGAAAAATATCTTGCAATAGAACATAATAGTTCTTAATAATTTTTAATAACATTGAATTATATTAAAGTAATTCAATTATTACGGATAGAAATTGCAAATTAAGATGAGGACACATATCGGATAATAGTTTAATAATTTATGAAGTTTATTATTAAAATATTTATTGATAATTTAATATTTAATATTAATTATCATTTACTATTTAATATTAGTTAGTTAATAACAATGCTATTTGTTAATAGTAGTATTATTGCTATTTATTAATATATTTAGGAATTACAAAATAAACACATATTGGGTAGAAATATTTCAACAATCAATCGAGTTTATTATTAAAATATATAATTTTTTACAAACATTCTGTGCAATAATGACAGTAACTGTGATTGTACAATTGACATTTTCGGTTGACCTATTCTACTTTGACGAAGTGACGGAAATCCTGAGAATGATAGGTAAGTACACATATTGTCGGGTTTAGCAGTGGCGGATGCGTTAAGCGAGACACTGTTTACTTATTCTCATTCTGTCAACCAATACGATACATCTTTTTAATTTTGTTTGCCTTCCAGTGAAATCATATTTTTCAAAATTTTTATCTGCGTTGTTACTGCGTAAGAGTCACAATATAATATTACTTAAATTTTAAGTGCAGTTTCATTAAAATGAGAATTTATCAAATTTAAAACAATTAGTGAATTACCAAAGAAATGAATTTACGTCTATTTTGTTTTCTCATCTCTTATGCGTATGTGTATACAAATGTTTATCTCGTGCCTTAATTAAATTTCAAAACAGAAAAATTCTCGTCCTTTTTAAGAGGCTAACTTGTTCAGAATCTAAATGCGATTCCAATTGAAACGTGGAAGTTCAAATATCGTTACAGGGCGTTGGTTCTACAGTAATCTACCTCCTCTCAATTTCCTTTCTTCGAAATCAAACAGGCCACTTCTACATAGACTCGGCCGCCCCAATTACCATTTCCCTCTCCAGTTACAACTTTCTGTCGAACATCGTTCCTCACGTTTCCCAGAAACAAAAGCCAAATCCGTGAACTCTCAGTCAAAAGTACACGCAATCCGACAGACGGAGCCGTTCTTGAGCAAGATCCAATTCACTTCTCGCCGCATCTTCATCTTCATTTGCACACTCACCAGGCTAGGTAGACTCGTCCTTGGCGGAAGGGTGGAATCGGCCATGCGGAAACGAACCACGTGTCGTTAAGCAGCGCGCGCTCGTGATACACGGTTTCGCGAAACTCGGTCGCCCGGAGGCCGAGGCTCGAAGGGCGTAGGTTGGCCGGATTTCGCTTGGAGGGTCCGATTGCGCTCGGTGCCTCGTAATTAGTGGGGTGCGTAGCAACGCGTGCTTCACCGTCATTACGTCACGAAACCTGGCACACACAGAGAAGCAGTCCGTGCCTCTTCCTTTGTGAGACACGCTGTTTGCTCGAGCTCCAGCATAATGACGTCACTTCGTTCGTCCTCCCCGGATCTTCTCTTCCATTCTGTCAATTCGGTTCGACGTTGTCGAGTCGCTCCTCTCACTCCCTTCGTGCTCGGTTTGTTCTGCCAGATCTTATTACCCGCGACGCGAGTCTTCACGGACTTTGGCCTGACAACTCGGCAACATCCGGGACGTGCATGCTTCCTTGAGATTGAAGCCGGGAATGAGCGTTCATTTTTGTCCGGAATCTCTCGCGAATTTCACCTCTCTGTCTCGTCTCCCGGATTGCATTCCCCTCGCGGTGGAATTCGAATGAAACGAACGAAGCGCTGTTTACGTTTGTTTCGGTTTCCGGTCGGTTTGAAATGCTTCCGAAGGAATGCTACGAGGATCCGGTGACGTGAAATTCAATGTCGGTTGTGTTTCAGGTTTTCGGAAATGTCACGCGAGTTATATTGTCAGGAATGAGATGGAATTTATTTGAGAATTATGTCAAATACTGTATCTAAAATGAAACTGCAGGAGCTTGCCTCTACTAGAATACGTTTGATTCTGTTTGTCGTATAATGTTTCTGAAGGAAGTCCACTGAAAGAAGGAAGGTTGTTTTGTATATTTTAGAGATATCGAATATTTATTAAACAACTATATACATATATGTACATACACATATATTATTCATAATATAATATATTTATATGTATATATTTTACAATCACTGCCAATAATTGAGAAATGCACTGTTTGTTGCACAGTACATACATCATCTCTTTGAAGATTGTATGTTTAAAAATCATAGGCTGTTTTCAGACAGTTTCAGTTCTCCTATCTTATCAACTGATCACGCGATTGTCATTCTCTAAATATCACAAAAACACACAGTTCTTGAAACGAACGTTGAATTTTCTGCTTATCTTAATGTGTTTTATTCAGCTTGATCTTACAATTTTACAAGATTTGTAAAGATATCATAAAAATACCATGACAAATTGTTTCTTTTGCTTGCGGAACATTTTTAACGCGTGTAGAGCGAGCTTTTTTGAAGCATCTTTTGTACCTTGATAAAAAATATTATATTCAATCACTGAATTTCTATGGATTATCTCATTGAAGAACTGAACGTTGTAAAACTTAAAGTTCGCGTTCGCTTAATCAGATTCAGATAATTGAATAATTCGGCGTATTGGCAGGATAACAGATTCATGCGCGTTGTCGTATCGGTGCTGTAACTTGATTGCATCTTATAATAAATTGAAACTCTTGCTGCTAGAAAAGAACGAGCGACGGTACCTGTAATTTTTGCTCACAAGTAAGAAATCAATACTCTGATACGGTTATAAATCCACAAGATGGCGACAGAAAACGTGTATCGTGTTTGATCTTTCGCGCTCGCGAGAGCTGGAAAGGAGAGGTAAACCGTTTCGAGGAACAAATAAAAACGCAAGATCGACGCGTACATCGATAGATAACTTATCTTCGACGTCGTAAAAGTATTCAGGTACGTAAAGTGACGCGGATTCGATTTTGCCTCGTACGGTCTCGATACGGTGGAATTGCCGTCTCGAATTCGAAAAATAGAGGAAGACGATCGTGCAAAGAAAAAAAAAAAGAGAAAAAAGAAGGATGCGCGCCGAATTGAATTTCAAGAGAGAAACTGGAAATTATCTTACTTGTTCTTCTTCTTTAATTCGAGATAGATTAATTTAGGATAGGTCAGTGGGGAAAATGAATGCTTCCAGGATTTTAATAATACACAAATTTTATTTTATTCATTTTTTTTTTCTTCCCGCAGAATCGAGGAAATCATTTGTTGAGAGAACAAAACTTCTGCAATACGAATAGCAGTTACAAGTAAATATGTACAATAATATAAGTGGTTGCCTTTCTTTCTTTCATTTTCTTTTTTTTGTGTTTTTGCTTTTTCATTTGTTTCTTCTGTTCTGTGATTTAATCCTACTTCCGTGACATTAATAATAATCGATAAAGATAATCAATCAATCAATATAAATAATAATAAGAAGAATCGTACAGAATCGTACATTCACCCAGTAAACGGAGGTTTAACCGTAGGCATCCAACCGACCAATCGTGACAATATTGACAATATGACATTCTTTTAAAAGTTTGCTTCGCATTCTATCTCGCTCTCACTCTTTCTCTCTCTAATTCGCCCCTATAGCCCCCAATACAATTTTACCATTATTTTACTCGCTTTTTCGCTGTTGCTTCCCTAACTTCCTTTCCTACCACCGCGACACGTTAATTTTATTCAGTTTACGTTTCCATTCGCGCGTATTTCTTAGTGAGATTTCTGCCCGCGCAACACGCAGCAAAAACTTCTTAGATTCTCTTCTACTCGCTTTCTCTCCCATTCCTCATGAATATTTCACCTAATAACGCATCGTGCTTTTTTTCGCGCATTCCCTAACTTCTACCCAACCTCATACTCGATCGCTACTTTGCCTCTTTTTCGTCAGTCTCTTCTTCTTCCATCCCCTGTTTATCGTCATCATTCGCGCGACGCTATCAAAAATTTCGACGTTCGCTACGATTCCGCCTCTTTACGCTCCTTCTTTGCCGTCTTTCTTTCTTTTTTTTCTTATTTTTTTTCTTTTTTCTTTTTTTTGTTTTCTTTCGTCAGTATCCTAAGATTAAGTTCACTAAGCATTCCCTACCGTTGATTAAATGCTCGTTGCGACGAGAGAGAGCCGAACATTGCTTTTCCCGAGGATCACGCGCTCTTTCACCTCTCTTTCACTTCACGCGTTCTTCGTCTCGGTAGCGTTCTCTCACCGTATTCCCCGTGTATTCTTCTTTCACTTGTCCGTTTCTCTTTCACACGCACGCGTACGCGCCACATCTACCTCTCGCTCTCTCGGCTCGAATCGCTTCCGCACACGTTTCACGTTTCCGCGAAAATTTTCGTCGATCTCTCTCGCGTCTACATCTATCCTCTCCCGTTCAACCCCCTGTGCACCTGTCCTGTGCCCCTGTTTCTCTCTCGCCTTGTATCCACCACCCCTGCGCACACCTAATTCACCCAACGCTTCAAGCCGTTTCGTCGGTTAAAATCCCTCTCGCGTGCTCACCCTCTCGAGGATCGTCCTTGCCTAGGCTACGCTCTCGTCGCCACCCACCCTTTCCTCCCCATCCCCCTGTCGCGCCCCCTCATTTTCCTTTGCTCCCCTTGCCTGGCCAGAGAGACGTTTTTTGTCCGTGGCAGCTTTACGTGGCTCAACAACGACCGAGAAAAGGACCGCACTTTTCGTCTGAAGGAGTATCGCCACGCGGCAATTGCGCGATTGCAACGTCGGCACCGTGAAACCTACGCTTTTACCTTTTTTCGCTCCACCTCCACCCACCCACCCCCCTCCCCCCCGCGTTTTCTTTGTCTCGCTTCCTCACTCTTCCTCAACCCCTATTTCCGACTACCCTGTGCTCCGTACCTCTTCTACTACCGGTTCCTTGTCAGCGTTCGAAGTTTCTCGCGGCGAAGCTTCGACTCGAATTCCAGAGTAGCTGAGTAAATCGGTTCGTTCGGGTCACCAAACGAGCAGCCCAAGCGTACCGGGGATGTTAGAGTCTCGTTTCTTGTCTCGTTAGAGCATTCAGAACGACGAGCCATCGATGCTAGTGGATACTCCACTGGTGACGAAAGTCGCTTTTAGAGTTATCCTGATCGCGTTTGAATTTGGAGAGACCACCTGGGGATCTCTGGGGATCGTTAAGAACAACCGCTCGCGTCAGAGATGCATAACATTCAGATCGTGGAAAATTTCGAGCTGAAAGGAACCAGCGACAATATGAAAGTAAGAGGTTCGATCGTTTTTCCGACTCGAGGAAAAATCCACATTGCGCGGGTGCATGGACGATCCTCGAGTAACAATCAGGCCGATCTCTGTGGTCCAGCGCAACAGGAGATGACACTCACACTCTCTCTTTCTCTCTCTTTCGCTCTCCCACTTTCTCTCTCTCTCTCTCTCTCTCTCTTTCTCACATACATACACACACACTCTCACCCTTTCTCTTTCTATCCATTATTCTTCGTGTATTTTTTTTCCATTATTTAAAATGTTTTTTGTTGTTTGTTCTTTTTTTTGTCTGTTTCATTGTAACATTTTTTTAATTTTTTGGTATTTTTTCTCTGAAAAAGAAAAAGCCCATCTCGCAGGTAACGAACGCGTTAACTGCGACCCGTGGCTTAAAAAGGTTCCGATCTCGATCCCCTTTTTCGCTTCTTTTTTTCTCCTTTTTTTCGTTTTTTCTTCGTTCACTCCTCCTCTGTCATCGTTAATTCTCCTTTTCCGCCGACGTATCATCGTCGTCGTATGTTCTCGGTTTTCTCGTCTTTTTTATTTTTTTTTCTTTTTTTTTGTCGTTAAATAGTAATCATCTAAACAATGAAAGCGGCAAAACGTCTCGAGGAAAAAGGTGTCCCTGAGCGCGACGGAGGGAGACGACGACGGCAGAATATTTCTTTGGGAGGGAGAAAGAATGACGGTTCGTCGCCCTTCGTCGTCTTCGTACCTTTCACGCCCACGATTACTTTAGTCGCACCTGCACAGGACTACGCGACACGTCCAGCTTTTACTGATACAAAGGATCAACTGGAAAATACTCTCGATGATTACAATCGCGGTGATCTCTTCCGGTTCCTCTTTCTGTTCTTTCGTATCTTGTTACTTTGTCTTCCCTTCTATCGTTCATTTTTGTTTCCACTTATTTTTTTTCTTTCTCACATCGTTTTCTGGTTCATTCTTATTTGCTTATTGGTCGGAAAGAATGTGTATTCGCGCGCAGAGCACGCGGACGGGTCGGATCCGTCCTGCGCAGGTATTAGTAAAAAGAGGGACGCTCTTCTCAAAAAGTTGCATCGTTTGTGAAATCGCATCAACTAAGTTCCTATGTTCTTTAAATCCTTATTACAAGTACGGTAGTAATAGTAGTAGAAGTAGTAGCAGCAGTAGTAGTAGTAGTAGTAGTAATAGTAGTAGTAGTAGTAGTAGTAGTAGGTAGTAGTAGTAGTAGTAGTAGTAGTAGTAGTAGGTAGTAGTAGTAGTAGTAGTAGTATTAATAGTAGGTTTTTTCTTCACTTTTTTTTTTATTCGTTTTTATGTTTAAGCATTTTTTTATCCTTTAGTTTTTCTGGTTCTGATAATCTAATAGACATCTAAAAATAACACCCATTTTTTTCATTATTATTTCATATTTGTATTTTTCCTCCTTATCTCGTCCTCCACTTTTTTTTTATGTTTATTATTATTATTATTTTTTTTTTAGTTTTTAGTATCGATCAAGTATTACTTAAAGATTCCTTAAACGTTAGACTGAGGGCCGCGCGACACAGTACAGTGAGCTCAAGTGTTTCGCGATTCAATTCGCTGATTTTCTTTTTTTTTTGTTTTTTTTTTTGTTTTTTTCTTCTCTTTGGGGCGGGAGGGGAGGGTCGGGGTGGGGCTGGGGGGAGAAAAATTCGGTGATTTTTTCGTACGATCCACGGTCCCGGACAAGTCGACCGACAGGATCGTGTGTTCAGCGTCACGTTCGTTCGCCGATACGGAAATTTCGCACAAGCACGATTAAAACGCACGACGACGCATGCTTCGCGAACGATATCTAGATACTTGATGCACGAGTCCGGCAGAAATTCGAACGGAAATTCGCTCGAAGCGTCACACCGACGCGCGATCGAATAAAACTTCGCGACACCCTTGAGCTCAGAATGAACCGCCGCTTCTGCATACCATCGTGTTTGAATTATACATCTTACATATATTTCTAGCGGCTGGAATAACAAGTTTTTTTTTCATTATTTTTTCTTCTTTCTTCTTTTTTTTTTTTGTCGTTCGTTTTGTCAGCTCAATACTGCATCAATTCATATTGCTGCTGTTGTGATCTGTGCCCAAACCGTCATACGCGATAAAAAAAACCATCCAAGATAATTACGCAACAACTTTCCAATCTTTTTCCCATCCCTTTCGTCGTAATTCTCTTACCTTTCTCTAACGTACATACGTGCCTGAGGCATTTCTCTCTGTCTATGCGTTGGTGCATTGATCTTTCTCGCTATGCCCTCCTTCCATTCTTGTATCTAATCCTCTCGAAAACTTGCAAATTTTCTCCTCGATTCATATCTCTTCTTTCTTTACCTTTTCTTTTTCATTCTAGTATTTTTCATTTCTCTATTTCCCATATTTTTCCCCTTCTCTCCGTGTTAATTTCAATGTTATAGTTTTGTTGGAACAAACTGGAACTTCGAAACGGAATCACTATTTTAATCGATTTCCTCCTTTCTGGAAAATCTATTATTTTGGAAATTTGTGATGTGCGATATTTTAAAATTAATTTTAAGTTCAGTTTTTCATTTATTTTCTTCTTTTTCTTTTTCGTGTTTTTTTTTTTTTTTTTCTCTTTGGGGGGGGGGGGGAGGGTCGGGGTGGGGCTGGGGGGAGAAAAATTCGGTGATTTTTTCGTACGATCCACGGTCCCGGACAAG